CTAAATTAATCACATTTTCATAATTGCCTTCTGAATACTTAAAGTGAGAAAAATGGTACTTGCCAATAATCCCTACCTTGGTGAAATTTTGGGGAGGATAAATGAGATAATGTTGGTGCAAATGACTTTTCCCTGAAGAAAGGCATTATGTATTCAAAATGTTATTTAGAATGTTAGTGATTTATCCCTCATTTTCAATTGAATTTATAATTCCAATAGGATTAGACAATTGTACAACAGAATTTTAAAATTCTCAATTAACGGAGTAATTCAGTTGATGTCACAGTGAAGAAAGTTGAAAATGAAACCTTTTGAGTCAACGCAGTTCTAGAAGACACCTTTTAGTCCAAATGAGATTCTTTTTTCTTTTTTATTGGAGGTACTGGGGATTGAACCCCAGACCTCGTGCATGCTAAGCTTGTGCTCTACCCCCAGCCCAATGAGGTTCTTAATGACTATATGTATTCAGGAGGAGTCTTGATTTGTACCTGTCATCTCCTATTTTAATTATTGGCTGCTCTTGAGTTTTTGTTATTAAAAAGAATGAAGTCACCCAAGGGGTAACACAATCATCTCTCTAAGTTCTTCCCTCCAGCTAGACTTGTGTTCTTTTCTTGTTTGTTCTCTCCTTTCTATAAGGATGGTCCAAGGTGTGATTTAAGGACACTAAATCCTCGAATCTCTCTGCTTTCTTTTCTTTTTCTTTTTCCACAGTTTATCAGTCGTCCAGTCATATTTCGTTTACTGGGCAAGGATTGAATCATCTATTGTGTCTCAACAGACACACAGCAGAGCCCATTCTGACAGCCACGTGGAGCCCGGCTCACGGATGCCAACCCCCAGGCAGACGCCGGAGGGTATGGAAGGAACCCCGCCAGGTACAGCTCTCCGCCGTCCGCGCTGTCCTGGTCCACAGCATTATTTTCATAGTTACTGATTTTCACTTAGGAGCGACTACTGTCAGTTTCCAGCTCCTGGGACACAAGGCATACTGGCCTTGGCTGACTGCAACGATTCCTGGGGATGTGATCACACAGCTGTGGGCGGGGCTGGCGGGATGCTTACAAGTGCTGGGTTTGCTGCAGCAAATACACTTTGTCCAGTTCAGCCTCACAGATTAAGCTGGGTCCTGGGGTGGAGTGTTGGAACTGAGCTGCAGAACTGGAAAACAGCACAGACCTTCCCCCGCTTACCAATCACTGCAATATTTCAGCTCTTTTCCCCAGGCCCCCGAGGCTACCCAAGGAGCATGAGAAAGAAAGAATCCAGCCTTTTTTTTTTTTTTTAATAAAAGCTCATCCAGTTTTTATTGTTACTTTTCAAGGTAAGTAGATGGCTCTTTGCAGTTTGGGTTGGAGAACAGAACCAGGAATGAGAGGCTGTTTTGAGGGCAATGGATCTTTTTCCTGGCTCGTCACAGGACTTTAGACTCCATTCGCCCAGGTACTTCTGAAAAAACATAGAAAGAAAAATAAGCGGGAGGGTATAACTCAGTGGTAGAGTGTGTGCTTAGCATGCACGAGGTCCTGGGTTCAATCTCCAGTATCTCCATTAAAAATAAATAAAACTAATTACCTCCCCCTCTAAAACAAACAAATAAACAAAGATAGACAATGGGGGGAAAAAATACCTAACTGGCTAGAGAATGTTTGACCTACCTGAAAACTCCTGGTGAAATAGAACTCGTTTGCATTATTTATTTCTGGTTAAGTGCTCCCCGCAGATGCATTTGTAAAGGCATCCAATCACCTGCACAGAAGATCCAACCTTTAATCTGTTAGATCCCACTTTCCTTGATTCTTTCCTTTACTCCTGGCTAACGTGTTAAGGCTGGGATCCGATCTGAATCCCTGACTTTGCTAGTCTAGCAGACACAGTCCCAGAGCCAACTCTGGGCCACCTCCCATCCCTGCCTGTGACCCAAACCTTCGTCTTTTTCCCCTTGGCCAGCACTGCTCCTCCAACCTTTCCACCAAGACTCTCCTAAAACCAGAGAGAAGGTCTCAGGGTCTGAGAGTGGGGCCTGAAGAAGACCCCGCACACCCAACATGTGTTTGAAGTCTTGTGCTCCGGGTAACACGTCGCTCAGATGTTGCATTCTCATCCCTGGCATGTTTCAGTGTGAATATGAATAGAAGGGAGGCTTCAGAAAGATATGTGCTGTTGGTCCTGTAGCCTCTCTGATGGCTGACCCTGGGCACCTTATCCCCCAGGGGTGGCCAACCCTAATCTCAGCAGCCACGGGGTAGAGTCTGTATTATGCCACTCACATTCCTCCCCTCTGCTCCTGCCTGCTTTCCGGCCCATTCCTCCACCCAAGCCCCAGTGTTTCCCAAAGGAAAAGCGAGTCCATGTGTGTGATGCACACACAGGCACGTTGGAGGAGGTGTCGTCTGACAAAGTAAAATAGATTTCTTAACTGTAAGAAGACTTCAGTAGGCAAATGTGAATTATAAACTTCCCCACTGGGAATATAGTATATTGTGTTTCTCAACCTTCTTTTCCAGCAGACCTCGGGGACACTTTGAGGTCATGCTGATTCCACTAGGCATGACCTACTTTTGTAACTCCATGTTTTGCTTTGTGGCATTTCCTTACACTGAACTGTTGCTCATGATGAACTATTTATCTTTAAAAGGTCAGTTCAAATATCTCCCTTGTGAAACTTTCCCCCTTACTTCTTGGTAGGCAAATGTAATTGTTTTCTTTAGCTTTGGATTAAAGGTCTCATCACGCTGTGATTTATAAGGTTGCACATCTAAAAGTCTGTTCTCCTAGATTTTAAATTCAGAAACAGCAATTACCAGCCCGCATCACTTCTGCATGTCCAGCACCAGTAACGTTGCCCAGCACACCGGCTGTGTGGGAAAGTGTCCGCGTGCATTTAGAGTTCAGGCAGGAGTTAAAACTGCCAGAATTTGTGCTAAATTCTATGTGTCTGTGTAAGCCTTCTTCGTTTTTCACTCCAATCTCGCTATTTTTTTGAAATGAAGACATTAGAACAAAGTGTCACCAAAAAAAAAAAAAAAAAGAGGCAGAGAGAGAGAGAATTCAATCCAACCCAGTTGGAGCTCTGGGCATAGAAACTTCTGGCAGCATTTTTTTGGTGAACAGCATCTTGGTCACTCTAATCATCATCGAGGGAAACCCTCAGTGCGGGATGCATCTGTACCGGGTGCAGCCCTTCATGCGTCCACATAGCTGATTTCACTTTACCTCCTCAACAGTCCTGTGCTGGAGGTACCATTACTGCTATCATTTTGCAAAAGAAGAAACTGATGCTCTGGAGGACTTGCCCCAAATCAGAAATTAGCAGAGTGAAACGTTGAACTCAGACCATGACTGGTTTGTTTGCAGCCCTGGGTGAAGCTATTTCCGATGTTCCGGGCCATCATGTGAGCCCATCACAGACCGGGAAGGAGGCAGTGGAGGGCAGGGATCGCACCTCTGCCCCGAGCAGAGGCTCAGGTCCTCATCATCGCTGGGGAAACATTTAGCATTACTAATATGACAAGAAAGGTCTAGGGCTTTCAAAAATCTGTGATTTTTTTTTCCCCCAGCTAGAAGCAGTTCTAGGCAGAGGTGAGAAAAACTAGACGGGTTGCAGTGGTTTCTGGATTCTCTGATGGGTGACTGTTAAGGATGCATAAGCCCCAGAAGGCCAAGAGTGTATTCTTTATTTATTTATTTGTTTTTCTTAAAAAACTTAATTTTTTTGAAATCTCATTGATTTACAATGTTGTCTTAGTTTCAGGTGTACAGCAAAGTGGTTTAGTTACACATATACATATATATATTCTTTTTTTAACATTTTTTATTGAGTTATAGTCATTTTACAATGTTGTGTCAAATTCCAATGTAGAGCACAATTTTTCAGTTATACATGAACATACATATATTCATTGTCACATTTTTTTCTCTGTGAGCTACCATAGATCTTGTATATGTTTCCGGGTGCTGTACAGTATGATCTTGTTTATCTATTCTATACATATATGTATTCTTTTTCAGATTCTTTTCCATTGTAAGTTGTTACAAGACATTACATATAGTTCCCCGTACAGTAGCTACACAGTAGGACTGTATTGTTTATCTATTTTATATAGAGTAGTGTGTATCTGTTAATTGCAAACTCCTAATTTATCCCTCCCCCCTTACTCTTTAAAAAGACAAAAGAAATGGGGTGCTTTGCTGCTTGGTCAGGGGCTTCTATTACTGGGAAGATCATCCCTATGGTGACACTTGTGAGGGGCTCACACTTAATGGTCTGACCTCAGGCGCATTAAAGTCTCTAAGCATTGAGCCCACTGTCTTGGTCACGTGCGCTAATCAGTACAAGGGAGACATTCTCCTCTCTCTCCGCAGTGTCTCTGGGCCTTCGCTTACCTGCCAGCCTCCCCTTCACTCCTTCTCAGCAGCGCACAGACGTCTCTGTTGCGACCTTACTCGGAGCCGCCGAAGAGGACAGCTTAGATGCCGCTCCTGCCAGCATCTGGGCGACCGAGTTTCCTGGGGGTCTGGAGACTCTGTTCCAACCATCTTCACACACAGCTGCTGTAGCCAGCGATGGCCAGCAACCCCGCGGGGACAGCAGCCCAACGCTAGAACCATCCCTGGATATCCGTGGGCTGGAGAGGCTTGTGGCCCTTGGGAGATTCTCTCCAGAGAGCCTTGCTTCCAGCCCTGGCCCTCACCACAGGTAATGGCCAGGGGGTGGGCCAGTCAGGGCAGGTGCTGGAATGAGGCCAAACACTAGGGTGCTGAGGGAATGGAACATTCTTAGAGTTGGACCAAAAAAGATCTCAACCATATTTATTATTTTGGGGGGGAGTGGGTAATTTGATTGATTGATTGATTGATTGATTTTAATGGAGGTACTAGGGATTGAACCCAGAATCTCGTGCATGCTATGCACACGCTCTACCACTGAGCTATAGCCTCCTCCCCAATATTTATTCTTAAGTGTGTGAGAAACACTGATTGCAGAAGGGCCACTGGTCAGAGGTCGGGGTATGTAAATCATCTGGGGAAGCTGGACTCTTAAACAGGGGCGAGGTCTCTGAGGTGCTGCTATAAATAAAATGAAATCTAAATACAGGCTCTATTCTTAGATGGATACATTTATAACCTATAAATATACATTTTATACAAATAAACAAAAGCATTCAGGGAGTCTGCCATCCTCACTCACCTCACCACCCCCATTCCCTCTCCAGCCCCCAGTTACAAACTCAAGAGTGTTTCCAAGGAATATGATTGTGTCAGTACACCCAAGCAGCGGGTGGAAAGGTTTCTTTTTGATCCAAATACTTAGAGATGCCTTCTCAGCCCCTTTTTCCTTCCCTTTAGGCCTCAGAATGACCTAAGCTTTGATTCATTGGAAACTTGCCTGCCCACGGACAGAGAGGAACAGGTGACAGTTGTGCGTGCGCAGACGGTCTGGTGTTTTTGACCTCAGAGTGGGAAGTTCCAGGCTGGGAAATCAGAGCTATTAGACTAGTAGCCAAAATCAGAGAGAAGGAGGTGAGGGTATGGTATATACACAGCATCTTTTCCCAATCAATACCAGTCTTTCCATTATATGCAGTGTCTCTGAAGTTATCGGCAATTGTAGAAATTGATGGTTTTAGTGATTTGTTTTCCCACTTAGCTTTGGTTAATAATTCCTCTCTCCTCCTCCCCAACCCTCTCCTTCATAACACTGGCCTCAAAATACCATATATAGTCCCAGAGGTTAGATCAATGGGCAATATAAAATGTACATGCCCAGTGATTTACTCTTCCTTTGAAGTCTTAAAAGGAACACAAAATAAAACGTGGTGTAATATCCCTACTCAAATTTATTGGAACCTGCAGAAAGATTAAATGGTCCCTCTTGCATGGGTCCTAGCATAAAAAGCCACACTCAAAGCTTTCAGCCATTGGAGACGACAGTCACCCATATTTGTCTGGAAGCACCTTAAAGGACCCTACGTTTATTCCTGTAACTGGCCCCATGCTCTCTCTGTGGGGTTTCCATTAGCCTCCCCGTCCCCATCAATAACAAGCACATATTTATCTGCTTGGGTGTTTTACTTTGAGTTTTTAAAAGAGCAAGCGTGAGGCTGGGTTTTCAGCGGCTGCCCGGGATTCTTTAAGGAACTCAGGTGAGCTGCAAAGTTCAGTGGCTGCTTGGGGGAAGACCAGCTCCTTTGATTTCTCTTTTTGCCTTTGCTTTTCTAGGACAAGATGAAGGCCTCTAATAGGACCATAATGAGGCCTCCTCTGCGCACTGTCCATCTTACCCATCCTCGTCTCTGGTCCTCTGAAGCACTGACTGGGAATGGGGCTGACCCTACAACCCCTGTCTTCCACACCCCTGCCACGTCCAGGCCACCCATTGCCGGTGGCCAGTCAAAGGCATCCAGGCCCTCTGCTAGCTTCTTGCCTCAGTCAAAGCACAAGGAGCGAAGAGTGGGGGAGGGCAACAGAGAAGCTGGCGTGGGACACCCCAGGAAGGGCAACCCAAGGCCTGAGGCTGGGCCAGATGAAGCCAGTGCCCCTTCGGGGATCCAGCTCCGGATCCCGCAGCTGGGAATCCTGCTTGGCCTTTCGGCCACCTTGGGCATGGCCGTGGCCGTTGGCCTTCGCTACCTGTACACCCAGTATTGCCACAGGCGGATGGAAGTGTCCTTCAGGGAACCTACAGGGGATGCGGTTGCCGGGAGTGATGGTGGCGAGACTGCGCATGTCAGGAGGGTGGGCGAGAGCAGCCTTGTTTGGGTTAAAGCGGAATACGACAGCACCCCTCCCTCTGTGGGCATCAGGAAAATAATCCTCTGAGAAGAGGGTGGTGCCAGGCCTCTCAGTGTCCCCCTTAGACCCCGTAGCGTCTCAGCCAGAACAGAGCTAAAGGGAAAAGCTGCCGAGGACAGAGATTCACTGTGGCAGTTAGTACAGGAAGCAGCGAAAGGGCAGCTTTATCAACAGAGGGAGTTCTTCCGAGCTTTGTTGTCTTAACATCTGCAGTTTAGCTGCTTTTATTTCGTTTCGCAATTAGACCTTCTGTTTGAAGAGTTAAACTCAACACGATGAATATTGTATAACCTGCTCATTAAGCAGACTCCCATGGCCGCTAAGCTTCCTTTATTGCCTTAAGGAACCTGCAGAAATAGAACTTCTGTCCCACCTCAGTGTGTCAGCCTCATCGCCTCGAACTCTTTGGGGGAAAAAAAAAGTAACGTTGGGGTTGTGTCTCTTGCAAAAAAAAAACAAACAAACGAAAAAGAAATACAGCCCTCCCTTTGCCTCTCCAAGCCAACCCCAAAAGAAATTTTGTTTTCCAGAGTTCAAAGCTGATTTAGTCCACGGGGTGAGTGCAGGGGTGTTCAGTTTTCTTGGAAAACTCAGAAGCCTGGCGAATCTGCCGTGGAAATTGATCGGAAGCCAGGAGGGTTTTAGAGATCCCGATGGCCCCACATCTGTGGGGAAACAGACGTACAGCACGAAGCTATAAACACCAAGTGGGGTAAGCAGGCTTCTTCGCCAGGTGTAAATGGATCTGAGACCTCCCGTCCATTTACAGTGGATGAGAGGCTAATGGACCCCAACAGCAAGCAAACATCTTGCCTTTTGCCGAAGA